TCCAACCCCTTGGTTAGATGATTACCAGCCTCGCCTTTCCCAACCCGCTTCCAACACCTGGTTACTAGGGTAACTGTACTGATCTCCGGTCTGTCTACCCACGTTGTGATTAGATCTTAGACAGACGGGATCAAACAGGGATTGAGGCCGTATGCAAGTTGAGTCCGACGGGGGTGGCAAAACACAAGTAAAAGAAAAAACTCACGAGACCAAAAATTACTGATAAAAAAAAGGGTAACAACCTTTTATATCTAATGTTCGTTACATAAAAATTGTTCTTACTTCCCGACCCGCTTTGTGGACTGTGGCACCAAGCTTCTATCATACAACTTAAAGACTTCGAATTGTCTACTCTTCAGAATTGTGTATGTCGGAGTGTGGTCTAGTTCGACACTGGGGCTAATCTCTACCAGTCGTTCACAGCTGATTCTTCTCTTCGGCTTGAGTTGGACGTATTTCTTCACTTCGATTTGGTTTGGTCGAATTTCTGTTCTTGGGCTTGGTTTGATTTCAACTTCTTCTATGCATAACTGCAAGTAACTTCTTCTTCCGTCCTGCAACTCTTTTCTGTCGACTGAGGTTGAACTGATTTGCTTGTTTGGCCTGCAACTTTACTGCCTGTCTGAGGTGGACCCTTCTCGCTGCCGTCCGGGGCTGAACTGATTTGCTTGTTTGGCCTGCAACTTTACTGCCGGTCTGGCCTGCAACTCTTCTGCTTGTCTGGCCTGCAACTTGTCTGCTTGTCTGGCCTGCAGCTCTTCTTCTTGTCTGGCCTGCAATTCTTCGGCCTGCCTGGCCTGCAGCTTTAACTTCTCATCGACTTTCGAGCAATCTTCTTCTTCTTCGACTTGGCTGCAACTTCTCTGCGGCTTTCGAGCAATCTTCTTCTTCTTCGACTTGGGCTGGAAGGATTTCTTGTCTTAGGATTCTCTTGCCCGCAAAGGGGCGAATGAACCGGGCCCGACGCCCGCGTTCCAACTGCTCTGGCCGTCTACCCCGCAACTGATTTTAAATGTCGATTGGGGTCCTATTTTTATTGACGCCGCAACAAACTGGGGTGGGTCTGTCGGCGTCAGGGTTTTTCTCGATAATTCCAAAAGTCGCATTATTTCTGATTTCCCATTATCGCTATTATTTTCACCCCTACTTCCTCACAGTGCCTCTGGTGGGGAGGCGCATACCCATCTCTCCCGGTCTCTCGTATGTCAGGTGACAGTTTTCAACCAATGGTTCTTGATCGAGCGTCCTTTCTCCTCTTTCTCGCATATCACGTGACCGCTTTCGGCTAATGAGATTCTGGTTGGGCGTCTCCCGTACTACGTGACGTCTCCAATCGGGCGTGGCTTATCCCGTCCTTGTTCTGGGAAGGTACACCTTGCTACAAAAAACAAAATCCAATTTGGTCTTTTTCGCACGCACGAAAAATGACAATCTTGGCCTTTATCACCTTCTTGGTTCTTGTCAAAACAGTCCGCCGCTAATTAGATGTGACTTCAGGAAGAATTTTTTTCGTCTTGCTGGCGCTTTCTGTGAGCCAAAAACAATTGTTTTTTTTTTTTACCTCTTTGTTTTTGCTCAGACCTGATAGTCAAAAATCTTAATTATCTGAATTGAAAATGTCTTCACTTCATCATCGTGGGAGTTCTGATCTTTAACAGGTCAGAATCTGTATACAATTCCAGCGGTCACCTCCTCATCCCAAAAGACATTTTTCCCCGATTAATATTTCGTTTCCATTGTTCTAAAAATCCCATTTCTCCAAATTGATAATGAGTCTTCTACACAAAAGTAGGCCAGATACTATTTTTCGACCGACATTTTTATCAATCGCACATATGTTCATACACTTTTACCAAGCCTGTTTTCTTTTCTCTCTTTAATGACTTTTCATTTTAAATAACAATTCCCATTGTCTTCCGAAATTCGGTCAGGCACGCTGGCCTAGATACCTTTTTGACACCTGTTTTTTCGCTAATGACCGGCCTTTTGCATTATTCATCCTCTTTCTTTCTTTTTCCCCTTTCTCTTTTTCCTTCCTTTTTTTTTTCTTTTTTCTTCCCTTAGGATCGCCTAAGTACAATTAGAGAATTATTCTCGAAACTCAATTATTCTTCGTCTAAAAAACTAACAACTGGTTAATAATAATTAAAAAAAAATAAAATCATATTTCTATGAATATTTCTTTTTTCTAATAATGCAGGGTGCCAAAAAACTCTCTTTCAGTGAACATTTTGAACGACAATATAATTCAGCTTTTGTGAGCTCAGGTAAAAAAATTTTTTATTAGTAAAGAGTAAAGACTTTAGCCCAGTCAAAGGGAAGTAACTCATATTAATAGTTATTGTAAAACTGTTGTCATTTATAAATATAAATATTGTACCTGTTATGAAAAGTTATTTTCTTGTGTTCTTTCTCTAGTTTGCTTTTTGTTTTTTACACATTCGTAAAGTAAAAAAAAAAAATGTAGCGAAATAAAGGGTTCAGTTCGACATTCCAACCAACTGAAGAAGGCCGGAGCGTACAACGGCCGAAACGTTGTAATAAATATGGCGACAAAGATGAGGATAATAGTCCGAATAATGTAAATAGTGCACTTCCCAAGTACTTAAACTTCCGCACCTGCTTGATTTTAGTGTCTCCGACCTGCAAATCGCATTTCGGGCTCATCCTTTTACTGATGACCATGCATTCTGTCTTTTTGTAGTTTATGCTTAGTCCCTTCTTCTCGCTCTCCCTCGCTACTTTCTGTACGTGGTTTTGTAATTTCTTTTCCGTGTCTGCTATTTGTACTGTGTCATCTGCATATCTTATGTTGGCAAGATTATGGCCGCCAATGCTGAATCCCAGTAGGATTTCCAAGTATTCATATAAAATATAAATTTTATTGTGACCTAATTATGTACAATATTGGATCATATATAATGTATAAACAGATTTACTTATTTTCTAGTTTACATGCGCAATAAAAATGATCTACTAGAAATTAAAAATCCTACAATTTAAACCCATAAAAACCTTCATACACTTCAGGGCCATCATATATAATGTAGGTGAACAATTCAACAAGAAAAATTGAAAATAAATACAATGTATTTAAATAGAAATTAGAGACATTCCATCTTAAATAAATAAACAATAATTTTTAACATCACCTTGAGATTTTTCTTGTTAAAAAGTCGAAGAATTTTAACACATTCAACATTATGAATAAAAAATAGAGAATTTTTTAGCATCCCGCCACCACCTTTTTTTTTTATCAATTTCAATTTTTGTACAAAAAGTGGATCACAGAGCTTATTCAGCTTAATAAATATTTTCAGAAAATCTCAACTTCTAATTGGTCACTTAATATTTAAGTCATGTTTTCGAATAACATCGACCTAGTTCTTGACCTGATCAAAAAATAATTCTGCCAAAATCTGTCAAGCCTCTGTGACCAAAGTTAGTAATGAATATGAAACGTCTTTCATCCTCGACAGTTAGCCGATCGGAATCCTTTGAACTCGTTACACAGTTCCAGGCTTTACGTTAAAGTGCCTTAACATAATTTCAGCCTGAAAAGAACTCTCACTCACACAGCAATATTTTATCACGAACAATCAACTCAACTTTTCCACATTCAACTTGATACACGAATCTTTATCAAGCTCAACGTTAATTATTGCAATTAACATAAATACAGCTTGTCAAGAATCACTTACTCCAACTACAGAATATTCTCTTCGAACGACAAGTGAAAACAAATCAAAGAGCGACAATTCCGTAAACCTTAAAGGAAGTCGTAAACAATATTTCTCTATTTCAAATACAAACTTAAACTGTTTATTTTTTTTCTTAAATTACTATAATACCAAAACACACTTTCTCATTATTGTACAGAACATTCAACAAATTATAATCTATCAAACCAGAACTTTGATAACTTTACAATCTAAACATAAAAGGACGTTTGAACTTTTTAAAACTGCCTTTTTACTCCAGTTGTTTGTACCTCTTTGTTATATAAATATTTTATTCATTGTTGTGCAAAAACTGTTGTTTCTCTTGTTTGTTCTGATTCTATGTTTGTTGAATACTGAAATTTAATGTGAGAGGAAATTGTTAATTTCATCACGCAGTCTAATTTACTCAGCAATTTTTGATCCATATAATTTAATTAATCAATTAACACAACATCCACAATTTTATAGAGTGTTTTCAAGACATAACAAGAACAAAACAAAATCACGGATTTGTACGAAAAATAGGCGCTAAATCCGAGAAAATCTTTAATAGTCAGTTGGGCTTAGTTTTATTTGTAACGAATTTAAAATTAGGTAGAAAAATAGCAAATGTTGAAAAGATAGCGAGGGTCACAAAGCATTGCCCGGGGCTCCCAATCAGAAGGTTTGTTAGGCGGGGAAGGGAGTATGTAACGGCCCTGAAGTGTATGAATTGTATGATGGTTTTTATGTGTTTAAATTATAGGATTTTTAATTTCTGGTAGATCATATTTATTGCTCATGTAAACTAGTGTGGAGGACCGTGTGTGTATTTACGTGTTGTTGTATTAGAAACACGTATGTAACTCTTGGTAGACTATTAACTATAGTTCAACTACAAGAAAAATTGCTGGACTCAAGTTGTCCAACTGAAGATAAAGAAGACAAACAAACAAGACCGATATATATTAAAAAAAATATGTGTATTAACAACAAATTACAAAGCACATAGTTAACATTGTGTTTGTGTGTGATTGTTCGTATTTTGAACTGGGAAACGCTGATCTTCTAAGAGCTTACATCTTGTCGCTGAAATGAAGAAGAAAGAGAGATTTACCTCACCTCCACGCGAGGTGGAATTTGGCACGAGGCCTGAGGGAAAGAAGAGGAAGAGGCAAGAAGTTTCCCAGTATTTATAGTATAGGGAGAGAGGCCCCTGGTGACAATAGGATAATTAAGGAGGAACTAACTCCGACACTAGAAACTCATTAAATCTGTTTATATACTTGTTTATTTCAGCGGTCTATGTGGCAGCCTCAGGAAGTGTGCAAGCAGTGGAGATCGACAAACCAAACCGAAGCAAACCGACCACTGTTCTGAGAAACGTGGATCCTTATGACGTGAGTGCCGATTATCTGTTCCTTTATTGGACCGACAAGGAATCAGGAGCCGTGAAGAGGTAAAAATTAGGTATTTCCTGTCAATGTTCGAGTTCAAATAAAAAGCTATTGAGATGCGGGGGAGGGAGAGAGGGGGGAGAGGAGGGGAGAGGGGGAGATGGAGAGAGAGGGTGGAGAGGGAAAGAGAGCGGTAGAGGGAGAGAAAAGGGGAAAGAGAGCGGTAGAGGGAGAGAAAAGGGGAGAGAGAGGGTAGAGGGAGAGAGATGGGAAAGGAGGTAGAGAGGGATAGGGAGAGAGAGGGGAAGAGCGACGGGAAGGGAGAGGGAAAGAGGGAGAGGGAGAGACAGTTGATTGATTGTTTTTTATGGCTTATCAACCTTTGTGTTATTTAAAGCCGAAATGTATTTTGGATTGTAAGAATAATTCTTTCTTTTTGCGATTAAGTATAGATACACATCTTACTATTTAACCGATACTTGGGGGAGATGGTTTCATCCCTTTTCGAAGGGTATTTTGCCTGTGTGAATGTAGCGAATTTGACTGGAAATCGAACACTGCTCTCCTATTTCTCGTTCTGAACTGCTATCTATTACACTACCCGCACATCCCCATACACACACATAGATAGATAGATAGATAGATAATCTGAGCCTTGTGTACTCCCCCAAATTCAATATAAGCTTTAGTATATCCGTGACACACTAACGCCTTAATAAAATTGAAGAAAAAACTAGAACAACACAGAAAAGTTAATAACAAAAATGAAATAAACATTAAAAATAGCATTTTATATACTAAACATGCAGAATACATAAATCAATGACGAGTATTGAAAACAAAATGTTCCACACAAAGAAATTTATATATATCAGGTGTAACAGCAAAATTGTCCAAATCATGTCCACTCAACAAAATGTTTAATATCTAAAAAAAAAAAAAAAAAAACACTAAAGTAATTGAATTTCTTTTTCCCCAGGTTTTCAGACAAGACGTTTCGCCATCTTGACACCACTTGTCGTAAGAATCACTGAAAAACCCTTTAAGATATTCCGCTAGAAAGAGAACAGGTTAAAATCGTCTTGGGTCAGCCCCACTATGTCTTCCCAACTGTTGTGGAGTATTTTCGCAGTGGAGGCTTGTATTTGCACTAAATCAGTTCTAATTAAGTTCGACGTATAAAACGTTAGGAACTTGATATAATAGGTATTACGCAGAGTAATCTTGTTGTAGTCGCTGACTACTTTCGTATTCGACTAACTGTCGACTACTGTCGTCCGACATCGACTAGTATTTAGTCACCCCCTCACGAGGGTATCATGTGGCACAAGGCAGGTTTAACGTGGGATTTCCGAGCCCATGGGCTCGGCCAAAAATATACCCTTTGAACCCGTATAAACGGGTTCAGGGTCGGTTTAGCTCCTCGAACGAGAATCCGCACTTCGGCGTAGCCTCGTTCGGGTTCCTCCCCGCTCGAAGGCAGAGAGTTCAACCGTTCAGCCGGTCGTCCGAAATTGGCTGACCTCCGTTTTTCTTACTACTCCTACTTATATTAGGCGGGGGAGTCTATTAACTATAGAATAGCTGTGTTTCACCATAACACCAACTGAGCAATAATGAGAGGAAAATGATCATTCAGGCTTTCAGTAATGGTAACAACATTCATACTCTGGCTTCCATCTTCAAAGTCCATTCAAGAACCATCAAGAGAATGCTGAATAAGTTTTAAAAAGAGGGAACAGTAGAGAAGAAAATTAGATTAGGAGGTCACAGCAAAAGGAGGGATCATCATATCAACTTAGAGTTAAAGAGATCAATTAGAAAAGATCCAACTCAATCCATAAAACGTTTGGCACGTGAGAAAGAAGTTTCAGCTATAACAGTTTAAAGAGCAGTGAAAAAAGACTTGAAAAGGAAATCGTACGTGAGACGTGTGAGGAGGTACCTTGTTACTCCAGGAGAGAAAGTTACAAGGTTAGAGAGGGCGAATTTCATCTTGAATAAGTTGGAAAATGATTCTAGAACATATATATATATATATATATATATATATATATGTGTGTGTGTGTGTGTGTGTGTGTGTGTGTGCGCGCGTGTGTGTTTGGACTTCATTTCAATCCTTCATGAGCTTCCGATCCTTGGCAATGATTAATTAATGATGAACATGTCATTTTCGTTTATGATCGACTTCATCACGATTTTCTGTTAAGCTTGGAGAGTAATTATACATTCTTATTACTCAAAATAGAGTCTATTAGTGCTAGAAAAACCTCGGAGAATTCCAGTAAGATATCTTTAATCATTTCTAAGATACAATGGTTCAAAGCTTAGTCTACCAATTGCACAATTTTGCAGTTACAGGATTTGGGCAATTTTGCCGCTTCACCCGGCATATATATATATATATATATATATATATATATATATATATGTGTGTGTGTGTGTGTGTAATATAAATTTATATATATGGAAGCAAGCAGTTTGTGAAGGAGATGAATGAAAAGAAATCTTGCCTGTAAAGTTCCCAAGATGGACACAGTAAAGCCCTGTAATATTTTTCTACTCCTTTCTAGTACTCATCAGATATAAATCCTTCCCAGTGGAAAAATAGACAACAAGTAACCCCTGCCCCCAATGGATTTTAACGTGATCCTCAAGGGCTCCTTGAAGCATAAATAACTTCTTTCCGGCAAAGAGAGATAGGTACTTTCTGTAGGTTGCTTTCAAGGAATGTAGTCTCTTCTCATTTGGAATACTGGCGAATAACAAGTTGCTTTGCCTTGTGCTATGCAGGGTTTTCATAGAGCGATGTTTCGTAAGGTAATCGGATAAAAATCGTGAGATAGATCCTCACCTGACAGCAGTATGTATTATCTGTACTTTATCTCTTTGCCATATTTCTCCAGCCCTTGGTGTAAATCGTCCCTTCAGCCTGATCGATCGTTATTTATTTCTATAAATAATTTCATGGGAATTGTTTTGATGAGCATTCCTCTTGTGTACCTTGACTTTCCGTACTAGAGTGGCGGTTAGGTCTCATTATTTTATAGCTGAAATTGCTCAAATTTAAATGCAGTATCAATCGTTTTCTTCTGTCTTCTTAATTCCCGTTCTTTTATTGTTCTCGCTCATTGATAACGTTTTTCTTTTTCTCATATTCTTTCACACTCAGTAAGCCCCTGCATCATAGTGGCTTTATTGCCTTTCTTAGGGTGAAATGATTACAGAAGAAAAACTTGTATCTTGTTTTTTTTTCTTTTTAATTTCTGAACACAAACTAAATGTAAAACCGTCGTTTTATATTTGTTTTAAAATGTCAAAAAAATAAATAAATAAATGAAAATAAAAGTAAATAAAAGGGGTACATAAAAAAGTACAGATTATATAAAATATGTTATTAAAAAGCATAAACGGCATATTCAACTTACTGGAGACGTTAAGATCGAGTAGGTAAAGGCTTTTAAAAGAAATATTTTTGATAATGAACTATGTAAAACCTGCAATGTCAGTCATTATCTTCTGTCTTCTTAATTCCTGTTCTTTTATTGTTCTCTCTCCTTAATAATAACTAAATAATAACCAAATAATAAATAATAAAAAAAAAAAAACTAGAATCTTTGGTATCTAGACTTTATGAATTTAACCGTAGTACTAGACTGGCGGTTAGGTCTCATCATTTTTACAGTTTGAATTTCTCGCTTGTGGAACTCTCTTTCGGCTTTTTAGGCAACTTTTATTTTCAAAAATTTAAATGTAATGTCAATCGTCACCTTATGTATCCTTGAATCCTGTTCGTTTATTATCTTCTCTCTTATGTTTTTTTCCAGTTTCTTTCACACTCAGTAACCTCTTGTTTCTTAGTAGCTTTATTTCCTTGCTTGGAGTGAAATGATTAAAAAAATATTTTTTTTTCCTCTTGAATTATAGGGCTGACCGCTTCACGGGAGGTGACGTCAGTATTTTGGTGAAAACAAATCTATTCATCCAGCCCATCGGATTATCTGTCTATGATAAACGGGAATTAGAAGGTAATCCAAATTCTTCATTACAAATAGAAAACACAGTACTTAATTGAGTAGTTAACTTATTTTATTTATTTATTTTAGATTAGGCCATGAAATTATTTTAATCGATAGAGTACAAAACTTGAAAGGAACTACAAATAAATAATGCAAGTTAATTTTGCAATGACTGGTTTCGTAAAAGTAAATTAATGTAAATGGGGGATGGAATTTATGTATGTGTGTCCGTGCGTCTGACTAAATTTTGTTGCGGGATGTACATGGAGACTTTAAATCAGCCAATATTCCTCAAATAAAATTTCAGAAAAGTATATTTTATTTTGGTAAGATTTTTTAATAAAGAGAATTACATTGCAAAGGCGACTAAAAAAGAGCGCTAATCAACATTTTTAGCAACAAAAAAATAAAAAAATCTTCCAGTTAATTTAAATTAGTTTTTGAAATAAATAAAGTATTTTGCTTATTAGAAATATTAAATTTAAGCTATCAGCTTCAAATTAAAACTAAAATAAAAACTTCAAGAAGTATTTTTCATTTTTAAAATTCATTTTAAACCTCAGGTATCGCGTTTTTGTGGAGATCCTATATATATATATATATATATATATATATATATATATATATATATATATATAGTGTATTTAGAAAAAAATTTTTTCATTGATGCATTATTCATTAAATAATATAGACAAGTGTTGTCTATTTATTTTATGTAAATTCTTTTCATATCGTCTCATAAGCTTAATACCATTATCATTAAATGAAGAAAGTGACAATATTGATACATATTTTTTAATCCTATCTGAGCTTTCGAATAGAGAAATAGTATATAGAATAGAGAATAGCGGTCCGTATAGTAATAGAGGATAGAAAAGAAATGGTGATTCCTATAGTAATAGAGGATAGGCTAGAAATGGCGATCAATTAGACGTTACGCGACTTCCTATATATGAGTTTCTCCCATGGTCACGTGGTCCGCTTAATTCAATAACGGGATCACCTGTTTGTTCACTGGCGATATATGTTCAAACTCAAGTGTCGGCAGCGACACTTTATTCCCATATTACAGTAACTTTACGAAGTTAACGTTGTTTGGCGATGACGTAATGTAACGGAAATTTAATTAGCCTCATTCATCGCTGAAAGTGTTATTAATTGGTTTCTACTTTTATTTTCAGAAAGGGCTGATCCTGGATACTTTGGTTTTAAGCCGTTCGATCGAGAAATTGAAAGGTGGACGAAAGCAAACTTCAACAACAGTAATTGTGAGCAAAACAATTAAATTTCACATTTTAAAATAATGAGTTTCTTTAATCGAATTCACCCCATGCAAGGCAGTAAATTCACTAAGACACAATGGGTTACTGGGTGTGAAAGAATTAGAAAACAAACATTATTAGGGAACAAGAACAATAGAAGAGTAATCTGGAGGCCAAAAGATAACGATTGACATTGCATTTACATTTTTGAAGATCAAAGTTTTCTGGAAAGCATGAAGCTGGAAGAGAGTTCCACAAGCAAGAAGTGCGAGAAAAGAAACTGTTAGCATAGAACTTACGGTTACATCTATCCAGCTCAAATGTAAATTGATGAGAACTTGTTGTCAATCTGATACTGCGCTTAAATTCATAAAGTCTCGGTACCATAGCGTTCATCCGAACTATTGTCATGAAAGTATTTATAGAAAAGGCTCAGAGAAACAAATTTACAGCGTTGGGAAAGTGACTGAAGCCGAGACACCAGGTCAGGACCAATAATATTGCTGATTCTTCTTTGGATTTTATCAAGTATCCCTAAACATATAGCAGGAGCACAGAACCATATGTTGCAAAAATATTCGAAGTATGGATGAATGATAGACTTATAAATATGTAAGATAGATTCTGGATAGAAAAATTCTCTAACACGGCACAGTGAACCAACTTTCTTAACTGCAAGCCTAGCAATAGATTCAATATAGTCTTTCCACTTCATGTCAGTCGAGAATGTTAGCCCGGGAAGGAACAATGAGTCTGTGGCGGGCTTCACCACATTAATTTAACTTTAGATTAGGAAACAGGGCTGGTGAAGAAAAGGATAAGCAAAAGACATCATTACATATAAAATATGTATTTAACAAGATGTACAATATCAAACAACGATGTGAAAGAAAGCATGCATTTAAGTAAGAAAAGGTTGAATAAGACAAGAGTTGTCTCTCTTTAACTATTATTTTTGTATTTCAAAGTTCACAGGAAGAAAGTTTATGAGAGTTTCTTGTAATAATTGTTCTCAGCAGATTTACTGTGTAAGCAAAGGTTATGTGACTGTATAAGGAATGTTCACCATGTGAGAGGTGGTGTGAGTGAGAAGATTGGCGCATCGTTTCAACTGTCGTGGATTCGTTTGGCAGCTGAATTCTCACTAATTAGTTAAGAAAATTTCTTGCTTATATAAGTGACTATAGGCTCCAAACCGCTGCGCGGGAAGAGTTATTCTTCACGTGCAGACGATCTGATTGGTTGGCATTGACCAATCAGCGACCGAGTTTTGGGGAGACTTAAGAAAGCTTCTGGGATCCGATTCTCCCAAAATTGCACAAAACTGACTACATAAAAATAATGCGATTACAAAATTATCGGAGTATAGGATTGGTGTATACGGAATAAATTCCAGTAACCAACAAATACTATTCTTAAAAGAATGCTCAATACAGAGTAGCGCAAAATATAATCATTTATTCGAAAATTAAAACATAAAAATGTTATAGAATCACTACAAAAATAGAATGTAGAATAAAGATTTTAAACCCTTTATTCTACATTCAACACCATCCCTTGATAAGACACCAGAAGTGTTGAAACAAAATGGCAACTTTTTGTAGTGATTTTATATTTTTATGTTATAATTTTCGAATAGATGATTATATATGTGTGTGTGTGTGAGAGAGAGAGAGAGAGAGAGAGAGAGAGAGAGAGAGAGAGAGAGAGAGAGAGAGAGCGAGAGAGAGATTTTTTGTTACTTCTACCGCTCTCCTAATATTTGTTGCATTTTGTACTCTAATTATCTATGTAAATGTAACAACTCTTGTGGGACATAATTCGAATTGATTATAACCTGTCCTATAATAGTTGTTATATTTATTATGTGACATATGTATGCAAGTGAAACAATTCTTATGGGACATCTGTCTATTTCTGAGATGAAGTATTGTAACTATTTACATCACCCGGACTGTTGTTCTCAGAAGATTTGCTGTGTGAGAAAAAGTTATGTGAGTGTAAGGAATGTTCAGCATGTGAGTGGTGGTGTGAGTGAGAATGTTGGCGCATGGTTTCAACTGTCGTAGATTCGTTTGGCAGCTGCCATATTCACGACGTTTCGGCCGTTGTAACTCCGTGGACTAAATAAAGGCTTCTGTTCGGAATTCCACAATATCACCTGAAGAAAGTTGGGGTGTTTAACGACCGAAACGATGTGAATATGGCAATAAAGATGAGGACAACAGTTCTTATGGGACAGTCTTCGAATTGATTATAACCCGACCCATATTAATTGTTACATGTAGTATAGAAAACATGTATCCAAATATAACATTGTCATAGGACAGAGGTTGTATAATCAAGTAAAATTATTTTCTAAAATACCTAGAAAATATTTGGAGGAATTTATTCCATAAGTTAAAAATTTTGACTTTACTATGAGCTTGTGGCTAACGTACTAATCTCCCCGAATCCAGTGGCAGTGGGTTCAATCCTTAGCAGCTCTGCCAGGAAATTGTCTTAAGATAAAAGTGGGATGAATGACTCGGTCTAACTCGTTTTAATTTTGCCTCCATTCTAATGTTTATTTCAGATTTCTGTCAAACGCCAAAAATTCCGTTGGGGCGTTTAGTCAACTCTAAACCCGGCCTGTGGGTGCCTCACAACAAGATTATTTCAGCTCAGTGCTTCTCAGGTTATAAATTGTCAAATCTGTTTGCCATGGTCTGTCGAAAGGGTAATTGGAGCCATACCGTCAAATGCATACCTGGTAAGCCTTTAATTTCGACTTTTAATATTTCTCTTCTTTGACTAATGCTTAATTAAAAGGTTTTTTTTTTGTCGACACAATAATGTTTCCAAGTGGACCGGGTTTCTAAATAAATATTTATCCATTATTTAAACATAAAAAAATTGCCCACTATAAAAAAAATTGTCCACTATAATGAAATTGTCCACTATTTAAAAATTGCACACTATTTTAAAAAATTGCAAACTATTTAAAAATTGCCCGCTATTCAAAAAATTGCACGCTATTTAAAAATTGCACAATATTTAAAAAATTGCCCACTATTTAAAAATTGCCTGCTATTTAAAAATTGCCCACTATTTAAAGAATTGCCCATTATTTAAAAATTGCCCACTATTTAAAAATTGCCTGCTATTTAAAAATTGCCCACTATTTAAAGAATTGCCCATTATTTAAAAATTGCCTGCTATTTAAAAAATTGCCCACTATTTAAAGAATTGCCCATTATTTAAAAATTGCCTGCTATTTAAAAATTGCCCACTATTTAAAGAATTGCCCATTATTTAAAAGTTGCCCACTATTTAAAAAAATACACACTATTTAAAAATTGCTCATTATTTAAAAATTGCTCATTATTTAAAAATTGCTCGGTATTTAAAAAATTGCCAGTTATTTAAAAATTGCACAATATTTAAAAAAATTGCCCACTATTTAAAAATTGCACACAATTTAAAAATTGCCCATTATTTAAAAATTGCACACTATTTAAAAAATTGCCTGCTATTTAAAAGTTGCCCACTATTTAAAAAAATGCCCACTATTTAAAAAGTGTACACTATTTAAACATACAATGAAACATTCCTATTTGTAAAAATAGTTTCAAATTTTGCATGAGACTTCCTAATATTCGTTTTTTTTAAAATTATTGTTTACATATTAATTAATTATGGTGGCTCAAACAAAATTTGATCAAATTGTCACATCGAAAATGATTGGTATGAAAATTGTGAGGTAAACTGAGGACAATAGTTCTTACAGGAAAGTTTTCAAATTGATTACAACTCTCATTGCTTAACTCTTATATTTAGTATATGAAATGTGTATTCATATATAACTCTGTTATCGGACAGAGTTCGTATTATCAAATAAAATTAAATAACTCTGCAAGTTTTTGGTTCACCATTGCTGTGGCCTGTTATTGAACTCACAACTCAAGGAGACATGGCCCGGTGGATAAAGACGTTGGTTAGATCCATTGACTAGACCCAAAGAGTTGTGAGTTCAATACCAAGCCACAGCAGTGGTGACCCCAAAACTTGGAGAATTGAGTTAAAGGGAAATAACTAAGACATCCGGAAGAGGCTTGGCACGTGGAACTAGAAAAATCTAACCCGGTGGACGAAATAAAGGGTTCGGTTCGAAATTCCATTTGCCTGAAGAAGGCCGGAGCGTACAACGACCGAAACGTTGTGCATATGGCAATGAAGATGAGGATAACAGTCTGAATAAGGTAAATAATGTAAATGATGATGCACTCTAGATGTTAACTTCATCGTTATTTTGTTACGTCATATAGCGTAACCCATCCTGTGTTTAATTTCCTTAACAATCATTTTGAATTAAGTTATTTAAATCGAAACGCTTCAAATACCATCTAACGGTAACAAAACGAACGAATGTTTTGACTAATACAAGAATTTTCCAAAAATTCTCAAAAAAAAAAAAAAATACAGAGCTGATCCTCTGTTTATTTAATGCGCATTTACTAACACACACACACACACACACACATGAAAACATATATACATTACTACTTTCTTTGAAGACATGTTTCTTAGAATTTTTGAATATTTGAATGTTTTCTAAAACCTGATCTTTTTAGTCATTTGTAGAAAACTTTCAAATTTAAATTTAACTACTCGAAACTAATCTTGAACATTTTCCCGGGTGTAGATCCAAACTTTTCAATCTATGGAACGCTCCAGAAGGGTTATCTAAAATTCACCTCCAGCCGGATCCTAATTGTTCCCGAAGGTCTCACATACGTGAATGTCATCTGTATTGGCGGGGGCGGTGGAGGCTACAATGGCGGCAGTCGCTACAAAAAAGCCGGCGATGGAAGTTTGTCAAAATTCAAAACTCTTGTGGCTGAAGGCGGCAAAGGTGGAAACAGAACGTCAGGTAATTGTCGCTAATTTAATGCGCTTATTCGTTTGTTCGTTCACTTGTTCCTTATTTCCTTCCTGTCTTCTTTCCTTCCCACGGTGCACGTAAAGCTTTTGAAACTTTCATTAAAACATTAATTCTGCCGTGGCTACAGGGCGCCGGCACTATTTTTCAGACACTTTATTTTTTCAAGTTTTAGGTAGCACAGGCAGTCTATACTGTTTTAGTGTCATGGCAATAACATTTAAAACTGTTTCAATACTACAAATGGAAAAGCAGAATTCAAATTAGAAGTATTTTTATTTTTTTACAAATTTTCACATTACACAGGCGACAGTATTTTTCGGACATTGCAGAAACTATGCTAAATGCACCCTTTTTTTCAATCACTTCTATCAGTCTATCTTCATAATGTTCGTACATATTGATAACGTATCTTCGTGTTTCTAGCAGTCTATTTTTAACATCTTGTATGCGCTGCCACAGTTCAGCCTCTCTGGTTATTTCTGGCCCGTCGTAAACAAGCTCTGCAAGCATTTCTCATATGTTTTCAATTAAATTTAAGTCTGGACTTCTTGCAGGCCATTCCAGAGTAGTTATATTTGCTTCACACATCCGATCTTTCACTGATTTGGCCACATGGATGCTACAGTTATCTTGCTGCAAAATAAAATTACTTCCCATTTCTTTTTCTATGAGTGGTAGGTCCCTCTTTTCCAAAAGTTCTCTGTAGCTCAAGCTATTTTGACGTCCTTTTAACCACTCGAGCCACAAGTTTACATTCGGAAATACCATACCCCAAACCATGACTCCTCCTCCTCCCACTTGTTGAGAATAACAGGTTCACCTTTTCTCGATCATGTACATCACCCGTCAGGTCCATCAAACTTAAAACGTTTTTCATCAGTGAATATCACTTTCTTGAAGTCGACATGGTTTGTTATCCATCTTTTGGCGCTTCCCAGCCTTGCCTCCTTGTGTTTTCTTGTTAGTGTAATTCTTTTCTTGATTTTAGCATCCTTAAGTTCAATTTCGTGCAGCTTTTTTTGTACAGTTCGAACACTGACGTCAAGTTCACACTTCTCCTTTACTTTCTTCGCTGTCATCTTTTCTCCAGATGATAACAACCTCGTAACACTCCTCTTCATTCTTCTTTCTGTTCTCTTGGAAATTGTTTTTTTCCGTCCTCTCTTCTTCTTCCGTTCATAGTCTGTACTTAGCATGTATTCAACAGTTGACTTCGCTAGCTTCATCTCAGCGGCGATCTTTCGGATGCTGAGCCCGTCTTCTCTCTTCTTTTGGACCAAACTGATGACTTCTTTTGAATGCATTCTTCTTCAGGATTTTAATACGTTTTCGCAGTGAATGGTAAAGATACTCAAATGTAATGGTCAGGGTACAATTTGCCTGCAGAAAATTTGCATATTGTAGACGTTCGACGACTAAATCATTAAAAAACCCGGAATTTGTGTCATGTCCGAAAAATAGTGTCACCTAAGTTGAAGTAAAAATAAAGAAAGCATGAAACCAAAGACAAACCCATCAATCAATGTTGATACCATTAATGGACAGTTACTGCTGAACTACCTACTCATCAACACAAAAGTTCTCGGCAGCAAAAAAACACCTTTAAGCACACTTTTCAAAGTGTCCCAAAAATAGTGTCGACCCCCTGTACTTTTCTAGTACCTAACTACGAACATGTGCGATCCAAAAGACTTTTAGTAATTTATTTCATGCGTTATCATTTTACCCACAGATCTATTAATAATCTTAAGAAATCTGTGTTATTTAATCTCAAAAAATAGTTTAAACAATATATATATACTAGCAGTAGAGCCCGGCGTTGCCCGGGGATGTAACAGTAAGAGATAGATCAAGTATCGACCATCATAAAAACTGAAAAATAAAATTGACAAAGATTATTGTTTAAGGTTGACGGGCACACATGTCTTAATTTTTTTTGTTTTTTTTTAATTGGTCAAACTCAAACAAGAACATTGTTTTCAATCGTTATGAGTTTATCTATTGAATAGAATTTTATTATAAACAATTGTCTTGTAAATGGAATTTTTAAAGCATTCTGAATGTAAAAATAAAGAAAAAAGTGTGCAAGACATTATAAGAAACACTACCTGCCAAAAAAAAGTGAAGTTTTGTTGAAATCGGTTGAAAAATGTAGGAAATCCGATCCCATATATAAAAACACACACACACACACACACACACACACACACACACACACACACACACACACACACACACAACCTGGGTTTTATAATAAGTATAACTCGATATGAGTTGTCCCCTTTCATTCTCGCGATGCCTCTTAATCGTGTTTTCAAATTGATTTCGTGCAAAAACAATTGTGTTTTTCCAATTTTGGCGCTGTCAGAACCACCGCAAGGTAGTTTTACGTAGTCCTGTGAAGTTTTGTTGAAATTGGTTGAAAAATGTAGGAAATCCGATCCAATATATAAACGTACAGACACACACACTCATACACACACAACCTGGGTTTTATAATAAGTATGATATATATATATATATATATATATATATATATATATATATATATATATATATATATATATATGGTGGAGTCTAACGTCGTATTCAACGTATGAAGGTCAAGTAGCTCATTTTCTATGAACCGACAGCCCGACACCAGCAAATGAGATTTGATTATAGTGGTGAAGGCTTTGTGCAGAACCAACGACACTTTTTGAAGGGCTGAATACAGAGACCTGGTGCACCATGTGCCACAAGGTCCCCAAACAACCATCTGCAGGTTTTTGAATTCAGAGTTGTCCCCCTTCTAGAACAGTTGCCATGCAAGGTTATAGAACCCATTTTCTACTACTTACCCTTAGCTGGAGGGAGAGGATTCATATATTTCCCAAGGGTATTAGCACGTAAGTGAATGTAATGGATTCGACAGGAATTCGAACTCGGTTCTCCGATTCCTCCATCCGTACCTTCATATATATATATATATATATATATATATATATGTTTTACATTGCAACACGGAAATTTCGGTACTTAAAACGACTTGTCTCGTGTGGCAAAGCGAGCACGTCTATGCCTGGCGTGCAAAACGAATGAGAGAAAGGAATGGAAAAAGAAATATGGCCGCCTTGACACCCTAATTTAAGAAAGACATACTCTTGAAGCTAGGAGAATTGGCGGGAGACATTGGGCGTATGCAATTTTTTGGCGAGATCAGCTCGGCATAAAACACACCACGCGAGGGAGAATAAACAGTTTTTTGCTTGCGAACGTGGTGCTGCTTGTACGGAGAGAATTTTTCAGTTGGAAAGAGATCACTTGGGTCAGTTTCACACATAAACATCAAAGAATATAAAAAGAAAACGATCTGATGCCAGTCACTAACATTTGTAGTGAACAAAACAAGATCTAGATTTAAAATTAAATTGCTAAGCACTGATTCATTGATTTTGTTAGAAATTGAAAAGACCTGAATTTACAAACTTTGCTTAACACACGCAAAAGCGAATCCAAAACAAAACTCGTGAAATTTCACACCTTGATGCGAAATGTTTTTCGGCCAATAGAAAATTAGGAAACATTTAAAAACAAAATTCTAATAATCTTCAATTCTCAGAAACAAATTCTTTTACGGACCTTTTCGCGAGCCGACGCGAAGTTTTGTTAGTCGTCCAATGGAAAGGACTGAATCATATCCGGGAGTGAATTCCCAAATGACCTTTTCAAGCCCCACAAACAAAATAAATAAAAGACGGGCAAGTTCGCCTGTCACCAGAGAGAGAAGGAGACTAGCGTATTAATACGTCCCTTGACGTTTGTCAAGGGATGTATTAATACGCTCGTCATGGCTCTCCACAACTTCATGTATTTTTCTTCTCTATATTTTTCCCTCTTTACTATTCCTCCTTTTTTGTTCTTTCAACTATTTGTTATATAGTTTACTCACCGTTGCTTCCTGCTTATCTTGTTTTCATTATCTCATGTGAGTGTTAAATTTTCTAAGCCTTCTTTTCTCTTTATGTGTAAAAGAAATTTCAGCCATCTCTTTCGGCAGTTTTCTTCTGCTTAAACGTGCTCGTTTCTTACATGCTCTTTTATTTGTTTCTAAGAACATTTTCTTATCTCATAATAATTTACTTAGTTTCTAAAAGACATCTTTCGCTGTTGCTATGCACTTTTGGATTACTGTGTTACACTTTCCGTTTTTTGTTATTACTCTAGCTAGTTAGTTAATTTTCTGAATATGCTTAATTTTGACGTCCCCAACATGTGTTTACGCCACTGAGTGTCTCTTTTGCTGACAACTATGCATCTTTTTACTATAAATAGTCCGTTTATCTTGCTATCTTTTTACTATTTTCTCTAATATTTCTTTAAAGTTTTTTCTTTCTGTGTCTACCATCAATAGAGTGTCATCCGCGTATGTTGTTAAGTTGATATCCACTGATATATAAATTGTGGTGGTACTCATTGTATTTAGTTCGTCTCGCTGGAGAATGAAATAAGTCCGGTTTCTGTTGTCTGTAAGAAGGGAACATCCAAAGGTAAGGTAGGAAAATCTGATATCACGGATCATATCTGGAAGGAGAAGAGTACACATTACACCTAGGATAAGGTGTTTAAATAATCGATATGGCATCGTAGATAATCGATATGGAATACAGAAGCTAAAGGATGTTGCGTATATCGACCAGGCGCTTAAATCGTGTTTGTATGGATTTTAACAGAGGATGAGTAGTGGATAGCGGCTCGGATTGAGGAATCGGAGAGCCGAGTTCGAATTCCAGTCTAATCTATTACATTTACTTACGCGCTAATACCCCTGTGAAAGGTATGAATCCTCTTCTTCTCCCCCCCACCTATGGGTAAATAGCAGGATAGTTCGGGTTCTATAGCAACTGGTTGACCACACAAAGAAATGGCAACCTACTGTGGGAAAAATCTGCCTCGTCAGTCATGTATCTTTCGATACATGATAGCATAAGAGTGTATTACACATGGCACATAACTGACTGATGGATTTTAACACAATGTGCTTTTCTTTGCTTAGCGATGAGGGTGTCGTGGAGCTCTCCTCCTCTACTTATAATTTGCAATCATCTAGGTACTCGGTGTACTCATTGCTGTGGAAATGTATGTCTTGTGTGTATATTAACGAATAATTTGTCTTAGTCTGATTTTCTTTTCTTTTCTTTCTTTTTACTCCAAAGAGGTGTAAATTTATGTTAGTAATCTATATATATATATATATATATATATATATATATATACAAGGATGTCTGTAAGGAAATACGCACGCATATATACACGATGCTGACAGGAACACGCCAAAATAGAAACAGATCCAAGAGTTTTAGAGGTGATTTTGGACAAACCTTAATTGTTTTTTTCATTGACAATTCTAGAAAGAAAATTCAATCAGAATGTCTCATATCAAGAATATTTTTGATGAAACATGAAATTATATAAAACAAATATAATATATACATTACAACCAAAAATTGGCACCCCTCTTCTTTGAAATATACATACTTTTCTCGTTCAGAGGATGTCTGTCAGTTTGTGTGATAGCTTTTCACACGAGATCCATCCAACCGATTTTGATGAAACTAAGCATATACATTGTACAATGTAAGCGGTAGGTTCTTAGCGTGAAATTGACACTTTTGAAAACGAATCAATAATCGATAAATCCAATCAAATATCGATAAATTCAACTTTTTTCCTCCGATTTCATTCAAACTCGGTATATAGGTTACTTACATCCTGACGAGCTCAACAGTACCACATTTTTTTTTATTTCTACGCCACTGCGTTTAGCAAAATAATGCGATAAACGAAAAATCGATTTCAACACAAATCGATTTCAACACAAATTTTAAACTAAAAACTCCCTCAATTTTCAAATGATCTAAAACAAACTTCACTCAATTGTAGCCAACGATAAGTTGATTGTTTAACAGTGATTTAACTTGATAATTGAGTCCACCCATATAGTGAAAACCCGCGTAAATAGCGAAAAATTGCCATTTTTACAGATTTCTTTCTTATTTTTTATTGATCTTTAAACCAATTTTCATCAAACTTAACAATTGCTTTATAAATGTATCCTCTTTTACATCCCTGGAAGCGCACTGACAAATTGAATTTCAAAAACTGCAAAATAATTGTGGTCTAAAGTAGGTCTTCATGTTGCCTGTTTTACCCCTTCATGTCTTCGGCTAACTTCGATTGAATAAATACAGACTACTTCTATCAGAAACTGAATGAATTCAAAATGTTTTTAATTACTTTAAAATAATTGAAGAAGATAGACGCTGTTACATTTAAACATGATGCTGTTTTTGCTCCATTCTAATTGAACGCTTTTTCTGATCGACCAGCAGGATATGGCTGCTAAAGAAAGAGACAAAATATTCCATACGTAAAATAATTGTTTATTCAGTTCTGTCGAATCAATGCTATGGGATTTTTGGGACGTCCTTCGAACGTTGAATGTTTTCATAATAAGTGGGAAGACTCTTTTCTCGTCATCGTAATTCAGGCGTTTGTATAACTTCCTCTCATCCGGTTTTTTGTGTTTTCATATCCTAAGTTCAGTTTGGTTCACTTCTTATTTATGTCGGCGTACCCACTGATATCCTTTCAGGTCCTATTCTGCACATGATTGCTATAACGCTACATTCTAATTCACCTCTAGAGCCACCTAGCTCTTTTGATGTTCTGAGGTGACACCGTGTACAAATATTAATTTGGTATCTTGGGGTGGACTCAATATATATTAGAGTCGCCACAGATTAACTCCTCTCAGGTCAAAAGTTTCCTGATGGACATTAAATTTGATTCAGACCACTGGTATTTCCTGGCGTGAATTACATACTACAAAGGATTTTTTTTTTTTTTTTTGGTCTTTGGTTATACTGGATGAGGGGTGAAGAATAGATCGACTGAAACATTAATAGCAGAAAATATACAAAGTGAGAATGAGATCAGTGACCCCGGGGATCTATTTCCCCTCTCTCTAATGAAAGCAAACCAACTCTTATTAGCACGATAGAGATGTTCTTTAGTTAGGTGTTATTGATTTTCTAGCTCTCACACCATTGAATGATTGTTAAATGTTATACGATTATTTCTTTGCAGGTGGCGCCGGGGGTCGTGGGACCATTTCCGACGGAGCCGATGGGGGATGGGAAAGAGACGCATGTACACTGGGTGGCGCTGCAGGTGGCGGTGACAACTGGGAAAATGACGGATCAACTATATACCCATTTTGTGGAGTCGGCGGGCAGTCTGAGTGTCCGCGCAGTACGCCACCGAAAGCGGGTCAGCCAGGCCCGGGTGGCAAGGCTAACAACGGTACATCAGCAGGACATTATGGTGGTGGCGGAGGTGGCGCGTTTAAAATGGGAGCTGGTGGAGGCGGCGGGTTTTCCCGCGAAAGTTTTAAGGTGGATTCATGGGAAGTAATTCAAGTGACTGTCGGGGCGGCTGGGACACCATCGCACGGTCCGGCAGCTAAAGGCGTGGTTGTCATATCCTGGGGTTGGCCCGATTTCCACTGAAACGTTAAATACATAGTAAACTTATAGTCGATAAATGTATGGGTGTGGCAGTATAGGGATAAAATGATTGGTCATTTTTCACTTTTTATTATATTAGTACAGAAAAAAAACAAAGGAAACATTTTCAGGCCATATCAAACAAAGAAAACATTTTCAGGCCTCATCAAACAAAGAAAAATGTTCAAGCCATATCAAGCTCAGAAAACATTTTCAGGCCGCATCAAACAAAGAAAATAGTTTCAGGCCATATCAAGCACAGAAAACATTTTTCGGCCGCATCAAACAAAGAAAACATTTTCAGGCCACATCAAACAAATAAAAAATTTTCAGGCCGCATCAAACAGAGAAAACAGTTTCAGGCCATATCAAGCACAGAAAACATTTTCAGGCCAAATCAAACAAAGAAAACATTTTCAGGCCATATCAAATAAAGAAAACATTTTCAGGCCACATCATGAAATTATTTGCGATAGCATTTACCCATAAACAATAGAAAAACCTAAAAAAAAAAAGCTACAATTCGCTGAATTCTTATCATTTTTTCATTTATTTTTTTGTATTGCTTTGGTAAAAATTTAATTATATGACCAATATAGTAACGCTGGAGATTGTTTTCTTCGTCATGACAGATGATATTGATTATAAACTGACAAAAGAAAGATAAAAGAACCCTATTTATTTGAGCATCTAAATCCTTTTTCTTTGTGTACATAAACACGAGAGAAAGAAAGTTATGCAGACTTCTCACAGAGGACAGTGCCACACATACCGGAAGATAAGATTGAAATTGTTCGCATCCTGTATATATTTGTTTATTTTATTTATAATCCTGTCATTTCTTACGTGTACTATGATGATGATGATAATAATAATAATAATAATAATAATAACTCTCATGGCTTTTAATTTGAATGAATTGGCGGTGATAAATTATACATGTTTCATCTTAGTGAATTAAAATGGGCTACCGTAAATAAGCCGTTCAGTATCACTGATTTGCTTGTTAGTTGTCTCCCCATAACCAGTTGGGCATGTCCCTTGAGGGGGTTGGCGTCGTGTGCACCATGAACGGGAGTAATGGAGGAGTATAATTGTCTGGCCTCAAGAGGTTGATTTTTTTTAAGTTTGAATGATGAAGCAGCCAAGGTAACTTGGGAATCATATATAGATGCCTGGGAACACCCTCAATCTGAGACCGGACTACAGTACCTGACCTGAAGGTAATTCCAACTGGCCCTCACTTTGCCACTATATCGCACACAGTTGGCTGTGCTGCATGTGCCTGGTATACACTTATCAGACTGGGTATCATAATGGGTATATTTGTATGATTGTACCTAAAGTGTCACTTTTTTTGGTGTGCTCACACAAAATAATCGTCCTCGGTTTTATCTCGTGTCCAATAATTTAATTTCTCCTTTGCTGATCGCTTCCTTTATGACGGTGGCGTTGATGACTAAATTCATCGCCAACGCGCATGTTCAGGACTATAAGCTTCAAGTTTCACCAAAACCTGTTTCCAGTCATCCAGTCCCTATCGTCGTTTGGCTTTGCAAGATTTGGTTGGAGATGAAACAAAATCAGAGTAGAAGAAAGTACCAATGGCCTAAATTTGTTTCCAGGAAGTGATTCATACACTTGATTTCATTATCTTCCCCTGTGGCACATGTGGAATGAGACATGCGGAATCCAGTTAGGAAACTGCAACAGACTGCCGCTAACTCTGTTATTTCAAGCGGAACCTACTGTAGCATGTCTGTCATGCGTAGTCCTCTTCATCCGCTGGTTCAACCGTTTAGATCTGTTGTTGGGACTTTTGGGGTAATAATAATACTAATAATATATTGACCTATGGTTGCTAGACTGTGAGACGTTCGGGCCGCTATTGTCTTAGTTATCATTGGAGCAATGGAGTCTATACCGCGTGAAAGAAGGCAACAATAACAACAATAATAATTTATACATAATACGCACAGATAGAACAATCAAAGCTAATCGTCCAGACATCGTGATCAAAGACCACAGAAACTGAATGCATTTTCTTATTGACATAACAGTTCCTACAGATTGTAATCTTTGAGGAGCTTCAAAATCTATGAAATACTAGTATTTCTCGGAAATCTAAAAAGAATGTGGCACATGAGGACATTAGTTGCGGTTGAAGCTTTCGGATTGATTGGAAAAGATTCTGATAGATTCATTGAAGGGATCCTTGGTAGTTCATTCGTTAAAGAAATACAAAAATTGTTCTTACAGGTACAGTCCACACTTTACGAAGAGCTTTATCAAATGTAAAATGTATGTGATCTTAGGTTGTTTCATTTTTATTTTTGTTGTTCAGTGGAAAATGTCATGATGCCATTTCTGACCTTAGGTCTCTGGTTGGGACCCGAAAGGAATTGAGTATATATTGCAGAAATCAAAGAAAATAATAATAATAATAATAATAATAATGAGGACGATGATGTTTTATTACTGCAAAATAGTAATAATACCTCACAAACGTTTTTTTTAAATATTCAAAATATTTTGGAACGAAAATAATTTGCGATGATTTTCTCTGATAAATTAATTTTAAGAATTTCCTGAAGTAATTAAACTCAATTAAATTCATTAAATTGCATAACTGTTGTGATGTGGGGTCTGGCACGACACAACGCTTAACTCGACAGAGTCAATCGTAATTCAATACTCAGCTAGACAAATTACTGCACTTTACGATACAACTGTAAATTTTTGTACGCCAATAAATCTTTGAATGTGGTTACTGCATCTTTGCAATGGAATGTTAAAAATGTTAAAAAAATGTCAAAATGCTTGAAAAGGTGTCAGTTAGTTGGCGATAGGCCAGGGGAATATGGTGTATGTGGAAAAGTTTCATATCTCAATTCGGTGATCTTCTGCAGTGTCATACGAGCAGCATTTTGCTTAACTGAATGTGGATTTCATTCAGTTGCTGGCAGTAAACTTCGGCAGTGACGCTCTGGTTAGATTCCGGATTGCTGTTGTGGACCACCAGACAGTCACCGTAATCTGTTGGTGCAATTTTGGCTTTGAAAATTGTTTGGGCCCTTCGTCATGTTCAAGCCATTAATCTGATCGTTTACGATTGTCAGAAATGATCCACTTCTCATCACAAGTCGCTATCCAGTCAAGAAATGAATCGAGTTACTTCCCCTTGCCAATTTTCTTGAGATGGTCCGATATTTCTGAAATGCTGATACCCATTATCTGAATCATTTCTCTAACGCTTTGACGGGGTTTTTGTTTTCAGATGTGGATTTTCAATTTCAGACGGATGTCCTCTACTATCTTGATCTTTAAGACTTGTATCCCTACAGCGTAACTTCAGAAACTGACACCATACTGTTCGATCACGAGTTGATCCTTCACTCAATGATCTGTTAATGTTGGTAGAAGCTTGAGAAGTATTATGACTAAGCTTGAACTCATGCCAAAATAAGTAAACACATCTCTTTTTATGGGTGCAGAACTAATTTCAACTCGGAACTAATTTCAACTTTCAAATTATTTCAATAATAACTTATAACTTACGTTATTTACATTATTCGGACTATTGTCTTCATCTTTGTCGCCATATTTATTACAACGTTTCGGCCGTTGTACGCTCCGGCCTTCTTCAGGTGGCTGGAATGTCGAACTGAAGCCTTTATTTCGCTCACTGGGGTAGACTGTTCTCGTTCCACGTGCCATGTTTGATGGATGTCAGTTATCAGTTATTTCCTGTTAATTTCCCTCTGAAAGTTCGCCACTGCCTTAACCGGGTATTGAACTCACTGGATCTAACTAACCCCTTTATCCACTGTGCCATGTGTTATTGAGGACATCCGTGTATGAATTTCCGGGTATTATAAACCTAATGTCTTCAGCAACCATTTTTTTACCAGTGCTCATATTGAAATTTTTGTTATCAATCCATGTTTTTACCAGAGCTCATATTGCAATTTTTTTGTTGTTGCTATTATCGCTTTTCTCTGGCACTCCTTATTACTGGTTCCCATATTGTATTCATTTCTATACTTGGTCGGCTCAGGAGATTTTTGTGGCCTAGCATATCTGCTGATGCTTTAAGTTTACTAATTTTCCAATAATGTTCTTTGTCTATGATCTCAACCTGATCCCACAGAGGGCAGTGATCTCCTTTCTCTCTCCATATGTGGTCAGTCACGCCTGATTTTACCACTTGTGTTACAGCTTTCTGGTGTTCTTGAAGCCTCACCTTAAGGGGGCGGCCTGTCTCCCCTTTGCTTTCCGCGGCTGCACGGGATAGCGTACACACAGTCTTTAGTCATGTTCTCCTTTATTGGGGTGGGGTCTTACTCGGGAGAGATATCTGCGAAGTGTCGTCAAGCTTTTGAAGGTTGTCCTGATGTTATATGGACCGCAGATCCTTTGTATTTTCTCTGATAACCCCTTCACATAAGGCAGGTAGACTGTTTTCTGAGTGTTGTTGTCCTCCTCTTGTACCCGCCCATCCCAGTTTATTGGGGCTGCTGCCATGTACCCAGGGTAGTGGTTACGTTGTAGGGTACTACTTATACTGACCAATTCTTTATCTAATGTCTCTGGGTCGCCACTTATGACTTTTGCTCGGTGTTGGAGGCAGAGGACGATCCCTTTCTTTATGCTGTATGGAGGGTGGGAGTTGAAATTGAGGTACTGTCCGGTGAATGTCGGTTCACGGTATACGGAAATATAAATATTATTGCGAAATAAAGGGTTCAGTTCGACATTTCAACTACCTGAAGAAGGCCGGAGTGTACAACGGCCGAAACGTTGTAATAAATATGGCGACAAAGATGACGACAATAGTCCGAATAATGTAAATAATGTACATAATGCCTCATCTCAGAAATATAGACAGTTATAACTTACGGTATTTAAAAAATTAAAATGCATTTTATTCGACGGTTGAATGTGTATTAAATGTTGCATTTAAATTTACTTTTAATTTTAATA